TTTTCTTTCTTAAACTATAAAAAATGATTATCATTTTAAAACAAAGTCAAAAAATATTTGTCTCTTAAAATAAGTAAATAAAAGTTGGCACATATAAAATAGAGCACTACATCCTTGATTAGTACCGTTTAGTGCCTTTTGTGTTTGTATTTCAATTTAATTATGTATTTTATTATAAGTATAAAGTCATATATTTCTTTATGTATATGTCTTTTTTTATATTTATAGTCAAAGTATTTTTAAATTAACTTTTTTGTACCTCAAAACTAATTTTTATTTAAACCATCTTAAAAACATGCCTCTCATATCAAATTAGTGCATTCAAAGAAACTTATGTCTTTATATTATGTTTGAACTAAAGTATATGTTTTGCAATAAGTTTAATTATATTTTAATTTGTATTAAAAAGTTATAATATTCAACAAATATATAAATATATTCGCGGGTATACCTTACTTAACGAGTTAAGTAATACGAATAGATTTTTAATACATTAGTAAATATTAAGTATCAAAATTTTATTCCTATTAATAGTTAAATTAAATACAAATAGAAACAAATACTTCACCTATATACTTGGTTAACCCACTTTTATATATAAATAGAATTGCAAATCGCGAGCTCCCCTTAGATAACCCAAAACTTTCAATTAAAGGGATAGTAATAAGTATTAAGAATTTTTTTTTTCTAGTTATAAAATTTTTAAACCTTAGTAAAATTCAAAAATTTTGTATTGATCTCTTTTTCTAAAAGAAATTAAATTTACTTAATTATCGACCATAGTTTTGAAAAATATCCAATTGACCCAACTAAAGAGTTGATAAAAAAGAAATAAATAAACGTGACTAATAATTGAAAAAATTGGTAAAATATTCATGTAAAAAGATATTAATATAGGGTATGATGTAGCATTGGTGGGTCACAAATAGCTAAATTGAAAAAAAATAATAATATAGAAATATATGTTAACTCGTCAAGCCACTAGGCCTTAATAGTTAAAAGTGAAGGTGTTAGTCATGGAATGGAGAGGGAGGAATTGATCACTTTTTGAACAGTAAAGGGAGGACACATGAGCTCAAAATTGAGTAGAAGGACGACTTGACCTGATTTTATACTAGAAGGGTTAAATTGAACATTTTTATAAAGTAGAGAGATGGCAATTGGATTTAACCCTTCTTATAAAAAAAAGTGTTAGAGTTTTGTCAACATCAAATTATATGATATTAATTATTAAATAAAAATTAAATTTATTAATATTGATAGTTTCTTTAAAAAAATTTTATTTTATAATATGAACTAATTTAAGTAGTAAAATATAATCTAGAAACTCACTAATATTAATCATTAAATAAAAATTAAATACATTAATAATGTTATACAATTGGAATAGATTTTTAAATTTGAATATTATTATACAATTTGAATTATATTATGGTATGATATTTAGCGTTAAATAAAAATTGAACCCATTAATATCTTTTCATCTTTATTATATGATGAGGGACAATTCTTTGTTATCTTCTGTTTCTTTCTATCTGTATATCATATAATTTGAATTCAAAATTCTTTCTTTTTAATAAAAAAAATTACTATTAAATTATTTAATTTATTGATGAACCCGCTAATATTAAGAACCTCTTAATAATTTCTATTTTTTGATCTGATACCATTTTTGAATCATAAAATATAATTCTTTTTTTATAATAATATATAGAATTAGGATTATGTTCAGCACGAATTTTATGGGGTTATATAAAACTAATCATAAGTAAGGACGACCGTCCTCTTGTGGGATCTCTCATGGCATATGCTATTGATAAATATTGATTATTAAGATGGTACGGTGGTCAATTTTAGTATAAAATTGGAAATAACTAAAGTGATATTTTTTTTGAACATAACTAAAGTGATATTAATGAAATGTTGATGATCAGGAGTGTATACATAAAGGTAATTTCAAGCCCTGATCGGCAATTTTTTTTTTAACTAGTCGTAAAGACTTTTTTTCTCATTGCCTTGTATAAAATTTATTACCTAGGTTGACCTTGGGGGTTTGACTCATGTTGTCCGTTACAAAATAGGGATCTCCAAGGTTGTGTCCACTGGACCCCTTTGTCTTTTTTTTTTTTTTTGAACATGCGACCCCTTTGTCTTTGTTATAATGTGTTTTGAAGAAGAGATATGCTTTGAGATAGTTCTTTCTAAAATCTCATGTATAATAATGATATTTTCTTGAATAATAAATTATCGTTTACTTAAATAATCCATTAACAATCTCTTTTTAATGAAAGTAATAAATCTTAAATTTAAATAATATGATATATAAATAAAGTAAGTTATAAAATAAAAAATATTATCTCTTATTGTGTAATTTAAAATAAAAATATAAAAAGTTGAGTAATGAGCTACTAAAGTCAATAGCCAAGATCAAGCATAAACACTTTAATACTAGGCTCAGCTCGATTCATTTACAGCCCATCAGGACACCCAATGCCACACAATTTGCACCACCTTGGCTGCTCTATTATCTCACCAGTCGTGTTCTTTCATGTGCGTTTGTCCTGCTAAATGAACTTTCATCAGGTCATCATTCATGCACCAAATTCTACACAAACCGCACCACTTTCTCCCTCTCTAATTTTCTACTGAACACTCATCTCCCGCATCTTTTCTACTGAACTTCTGTTCTTGTACATAAAAATTGCATTTTACAACTTATCTGCTGCTTATTGTTAAAGAGACCTGAACATGGCACTTGACAGACTTCACAAAGCAAGTTATCTGCTTGAGGCTTCAGCATGTCATCATTAGTGAATGATTGCAGTCATTGAGGCTGCAGAAATTGTGGATCACTCGATGGTTCCGATCGCTTTGCTCCCCGAAATACTAGGAAATGAACTAGAACCTGGCCTTGAAGAAGCATTGCCACTTGGAAGTTCTTGATTGCTTGGTGGTGCGAGTTGCTTTACTCTGGAAAGGCTAGGATTTGAATTTGAAATTGAAGTAGGATTTCCACTTGGACTTGACAAATGCACGTGCCATGAAAAGAAAACTGGTACATAAATAGTTTATAGCATACTGGTACATAAATAGTTTATAGCATACTGGTACATAAATAGAAATGGATGGAGATATACTTAAAAACCAGTTAAATACTTAGAAGAGAGACAAGCCTAACGAATGAAGCAAATTGTTTTCTGGTAATTTGGCAGTAGAAAATTACTACAACACTGCTCCAGCAAATTTGTTGATGTAACTAGCAAAGAACCAGTTATAATTGTGTACGAAAGTCCCTAAGATTTAGTAAGGTTATTTAATTCAAAATTAGAAAGTTGTCTTGAATTTCTTTATGTTCCAATTAAGCTCTTTTCATATATCATCCATCTGGTGTATGTAGAGGAAATGATGATCATGGTTTTTGAAGTGTAGCAGATTTTACTTTAGGAATGTAAACCTAAGTGGATACTCATCACATGAACATGATATTGCATATAGATTTCTACAAATAAAGACAATCATCCCAATTAAAAGCCCAAATTCATGTGTTCTCTCCCTTATTTTCAACTGCTTGCACAAAGTTTTGCATGATTTTTGTCCTAAACAATTAGCTAGAATGAAAACTCCTGGCTTCTTATTTGACTCAACTTAATTTGGTATGGGTACAACTCTCTTTATCCATCTATCGCCATTTCCACTTGTATATCTCACAAAGGTAGCTTCAAAAGTGTATCAAAAACTTACAAAGTTAATAATTCAATTGGCCATCTTTTTTGTGCTAATACGCAGCATATGATGGAAATTGACACAAGGTCTTATCTGCAGTGAGATTAGTTCCTGTCCACTGTCATTGTTTGTTTCCATATTCAGAATGGCAATCTTCCTTCTGTATGCCAGTTCTATTTGGATGGCTTGCTCTACATTCATAAAATTTTCCCTCCTCGGGTCAGCCGTTTCCATCTCTATTGTGTTTTCTGCCAAGTACCAAGTTCAAGCCTTTTTCAACCTAAGAAACAGCCAGGCATAAAATGAACTAAATAATGCAACATCAAGAGAGGTGGTTGGGACAGAGAGTGATTTGGTTGGTCTAATAATGTGAACATTTTCTACCTAATAAAATCATAACAAGAAAGAGAAAATTAAAATGTCCTTTTCAGTATATTATACAGAGAAACATTACCAATTACGGGCCAAAGTGTATGATCAAGGAAGACTGAAACATATACTGAATTCTCCATCACAGCATTGGATAAATTACTGACTGCAGAAAATCGTTTTTACTTCTTAGTCCTTAAATTATAGTTTGATACTAAGGTTGATGCTAGACCTGCAGGCTCTCCTTACAATCAAAATCTTAACATCAAACCAAGTTGGAAAAAAAAAAGTACTCTATAAAATCCCCTTTAACACATTGAAGAAGGGTGGTGCCAGCTATGGAATAACATGAGCTATGCATAGTCCGAGAAGGAACTCAATTGTTCAGTTGGGCTTCAATGGCTTCCTCCTTGTCATAAAAAGAAGGGGTTAAGGGCCTTCCACTTTTCTATTGATTGTATTCCCGAAGTTCTAATCAAGAAAATTGTTTAATAAGCCCTCACAGAAGCTAAGGTCCACAACTTGTCATGAAAATTACCGTAACTTGGAAAAACAAATAATACATAGTAAGAAATTGATGGTTCAACTCTGACTTATAAGTCTTATTAATAATAAAAAGGAGTAATTTTGATACCCTATACTCTTTTTTTTGGCAGTCCACACCCTATACCTTAGGAATTACTAATTCAATTGTTTCTTTTTATTGGAAAAATGAATTATATTTCTTTAGCTACAAGCGATACTACAATACATATAAAAAGGTCTATATCAGAAGAAAACTCACCACACTCACAAGTTACAACCCCTGAAACGGAAGATAAAAAATCTCACTCTTTCATAATTTCTTCTGCACACAAGATGGAACTGACACCAACAACTATAATCTAAAGACACCCTTGGCATTTTACTCTTAAAGTCTTAATGCAAAAGACCTTGACTGACACCAACACAAAAATTTTACTAATTCAGTTGTAAACATCTAATCCATACAGCTACTACAAACTTAAGATTATGCTAAATCAAGGAGCCACACACAAGTGTAACATGCAGGACATTTAAAATCAGATCCGTTCATACTTATTTACTGATGCATATGAGAACGGCACCATAATTAATCAAGCTCAGAACAAAAATGAAACTTTAAAGAAAAGACACCCAATTCCAGAAAAGTTTATTAAGAAGCCATTGATCAAAAATAAAAGTAAAAATACAAAATCAAGAGAGGTGGCAACAAATCAATGAGTTAGGTAACAATGACAGGTCTAGTTCCTGGATAATGGGGAGAAATTCAAAGAGAATAAATTGAAGAAGAGATACCCATAAACAATGCCAAAGAAATTCCAGTTATGAAAGATTCAACAGCAGCAAAAGGGTTAGAACCCACAAAAAGGGAAGAGAACAATCATTCATAAAACAAATAAAAAAGGAAGAAAAAAGCAGAAGAAAGAAACAAACCCGGATGAGAATCACTGATGAATTTGAGAGAGGAATCAGTGTTCTTGCTCATCAATCACAATGTTTTTTTGATTTTTTTGGTTTCTGTCAAGGACTAGGAGAAAGACACATTGTGGGGAATTGGGGATACCGTAATTCTCTTCACTAACAAACGACAAAATTGTATAGGCCGAAGGCTGTACCTCTGATTAAAATAAATTTGTGATAAACAGTACAAGACAAAAAAAAAAAAAAGAAGATGTCTTAATCCTAAAACTAAGAATTTTTAGCAAGAAAATGTGACCCAGACACTGCAAGAACAATTTTTTTTTCTTCTCTGGAGTGTAAGATGCAAGAACAGACGAAAGATAAATACAAAAAGATTAGAGAGATTTCTATGAGCTTGAATAAATTGGGTAAAATTCAGCCTCAATATTGCGAATAGTCAAGATTCTGTGTACACGAAGAATCATGGCAGTAAAAACCTTATGTTATTAGACATGTAAGCGTGGAAACTATCTAATACTGTAAACATATCGACTTTTTCTGAATTCAATTCAACCCTCCTTCAGAGGACACCATAGCTGAAATCTTCCCTTCTGCAAGTGATCTTGAACAGCATTGCTAGCACCTCTTTCATGTTTGGCCTAGAATGTGGTGCCTCTACCGTGCACCGCACCCCAATCTGGAGCAGTTCACATAACTCCTCTGCTCCCTCAGTCTGCCCAGACCCTAAAAGTAGAACCGATATCACAGCTCTACCTGATCCATCTTGTCTCCCATTTCCCATCACTCGTCTTGCCCATTCCACCAAGCATTCTTCCCCTCCATCCAGAGCACGTCGCCCTGTTGCCAATTCCATTGCCAAAACTCCATAACTGTACACATCACCCCTTGTAGTAGCTCGCCATGTTTGCCCGTATTCGGGTGCTACATAGCCAACTGTTCCAGCTACCATTGTGCTCACATGGCTATCTCCAGCATCGACAACCCTTGCAAGGCCAAAATCTGTGACTCTTGCCCGTCCATCTTTATCCAGAAGGACATTGCTTGCCTTGACATCCCTGTGAACAATGGAAGGGTAGCATTCATGATGTAGAAAGACTAAAGCATTTGCAACATCAATTGCTACTTCAATTCTTCTTCTCCATGTTAGCTTCGTTCTGTCTGTCACAAGATCCTCCAAGCTCCCTCCTTGCATGTACTCATAGACCAATATTTTGTCCAAGCCATCAAAGCACCATCCATAGAGTGTCACAAGGTTTGGATGAGGCCAACCAAAGCCATTTCCACTTAGAACCTCCATCTCAGCCTGGAATTCCTTTTCACCATCAGTTCCTTGTCGTTGTAGCTTCTTCACTGCAACTTCTCTTCCGTCAGGCAATACTCCTTTGTACACTGTTCCAAATCCTCCCTTTCCGATTACTCGATTCTCAGAGAAGTTACCTGTAGCCTTCAAAATATCAGCATGGGTAAAAGCTGTTTTGTCTAAACGGATGATCTTAACTGTATCTGATAGCCAGGGTGACGATCCGCTAGAGCTGGATGCAAGATCACGCCTATACTTAAAGTCCCCCACAAGATATCCTTCTGGACCTTCTGGGGTTTTCACCAATTTGCGGACTATGAGTGACAATACACCTAATATTAGGAAGACCAGTGTAAGAAACAAGAACACCAATAACAGGACAAGCTTCCTAGACCTCTGCTTCCTATGAGGTTCTCCATCTGAAGCATTATTTGTCGTCTTGTCTATAAACTCCGGAAGTCGCAATAAAGGATCTCCCAGGTAGGAATCTTTCTCAAATGTTAAAAACTGCCCAGTTTTTGGAATTATGCCTGATATGAATGGATTGTATGAGATGTTGAACTTGCTGAGATCATTTAGTCTGCCCAAGCTTTCTGGAAATGAGCCTGAAAAGTTGTTGTATGACATGTCAAGATTCTGTAGACATTTGATATTGGCAATTTCCGCTGGAATTTGGCCGGAAAAATAATTGCTGGAAATGTTTAGCACAACAAGTGACAACTGTCCAATCTGTGCAGGCAGCTCTCCATAGAAGTCATTGAAACCCAAATGCAACATACTGAAGTTCTGCATCTTACCAATATCTGAAGGGAGCACCCCAGAAAACTTATTCCCACATAATTGGAGATAACCTGAGATTTGATATGTCCTAACCACAGAACCTGCAGCACAAACTGGGAAAAGGCCAACCCCTACCCCTTTAAGTAGACGATCCCATATGCTTCTGCAACTCTTCCTTGTGAGAATTGTATACGCAAAGCTGAAAGGTGGGTAGTCTGCTGGTATCCATCTTCTCATCGCCAGGCATTCCCCAGAGCCAGCAATTATCCTGTCATTATTTTTCTGATTTAATAAAAATGTTGAAGCAGCATTTTTCCCAATATTTGTCACCTGAGGAGGTATTCCCCCAGAAAGTTGGTTGTAAGCGAGATTCACCCATAGTAAGCTACTGCAATTTCCAATCTCAGGTGGAATTTCTCCAGTAAGTGAATTGTTTGCGAGCATCAACCATAAGAGAGAGCTCAATTTTCCAAAGCTGGGTGGAATTGATCCAGTTAGCCTGTTGAAGGAGAGGTCAACGGCTTGAAGTTGCCTCATGTTTCCATACTCCAGTGGTATTGAGCCACCAAATTGATTATAGGCCAGGATCAAGAGCTTCAAACTGGGCATTTGAGAGATTTCAACAGGTAAAGGACCAGAGAAATTATTATAGCTCAGGTCTAACCTTGAAACATTTGGTAGTTTAAGGATACCCGAAGAATTTATCCCTCCCGTGTATAAATTTCCATGCAATACAAGAAACTTGACTTGCGTGAATCTCCCAAAAATCGCTTGTATGTCCCCTCCAAATTCATTCTTGCTCAAGTCCAGAAAGGCCAAATTATGCAGATTCACAAGGGTTTCTGGGATCACCTTATTAAAATTGTTGCTCCCCAAGAACAGCCCTTCAAGGGTGGAAATGGACCCTATTTCTGCTGGAATCAGCCCTGTAAAATTGTTTCCCCACAAATTTAAGACAACCAAATTCTTGCAATTTGATATGTTCCCTGAAATCCCACCACTGAAATTGTTTTCTGACAAGTCCAAAACTTGCAGACTGCAATTTTCCCACAAAGTTGATTCAGAAATTGAACCAGTAAGATTATTCTGAGAAACAGAAAATTCCACAAGCCTTCCAAATCTAGTCCACAATCCACCAACAAAATGATTGAAGCTCAAGTCCAGATATTGCAGATTATGGCACCCGTCAAAGCAATTATCAATCCTACCTGTGAAATTATTTTCAGAAAGATTGACTACAACAAGCCTGTCACAAATTGCAGGAAAAGTGAACTGAATCTCGCCGTCAATTCTATTCGTGGATAGATCAAGGGTCTCCAGTTTAGTCAATCCGGACAAATTCAGCTCTCCTACAAGGAGATTATGAGACAGGTTGAGGTACACGAGGTTGTGGCATCCGTTCAAGTCATCAGGAATTGCTCCATTTATTGTGTTCTTTGAGAGGTCGAGGTACTGAAGCCGAGACAAAGACGAGAAACTTTTGAACATTTCACCGGAGATATTGCTTTCCGAGAGGCGTACTCCGATGACCCTAGTCCCATTTTCCGAGCACGAGATTCCGTACCAGTAGCATGGATTGGAAGTAGTTCGATTCCATTCCGAGTATCTCCCTCGATTCACTGGGTTCTGCTTTTCGAGGGATAATTTCAGACTGAACAGCGACTCTCTGTCCGTGTCCAGCGAACCTCCGGCGACGACGGTGCCTGTAAATAACCGAAATTCAGATATAGTAAGAGAATCTTCCTTGAAAAACTCAAAAACATGCTCGGAAAATGAAAAACTTATTCAATATTCAAAAACACGAAAACAGGAAATACCCATGAAAGATTTTCGATTCAGTTCATTGAAAAACACGAACCAAAATTGACGCTGGACTGATTTAAGAAAACCCAATACCTGAAATCAGGATTATGAACACCAACAACGCAAAACGCCATGAACCGGCAGCTTCACCGCCTACCCTCCTCATATCCTTCCTTTTTTCCGCTGAATTCATAATATCCCAAATGGGTCTGTT